TCAGCAGTCAGGCAGCTGAGTGGGATCACTTCTTACCATGTTTGTGACTGTATTTTCACTTGTCCTGTATTTGGAGTAGACACTAAGGCAGTTTGCTGTTTTTCTGTATCCTGGACAGCACATCAGGCAGAGTGAAGCTTCCATGTTTACTTTTGGACATAATCAATCAATCAATCACAGTAATTAGATTACATAGAGATATCAATACCTGCTGTGCCTCCCCTGGCACACCTCGCATTTTATGTGTGTCAATTTAGACAGGAAATATCTGCAAAGCAACCCTGAAAGCTTCGTGGGCATCATAAACACTGTCACACAATTTGTGTTGACCAAATGCACAATGAAGTAAGTAAATGTACAAACTGCAAGCCCATTAGTACCTCCTGAGAAGTCTGCCAGAAACTATTAGTTCACGTTTGCATCAAATCACTTTGAGTCATGAAGAAATGTGAAAAAATCAAAAGCAGTTAAATGCACAGTTTTCACACATGAACAAGAAGTTTAAATCCTTTTAATAAATTACTCAAGAAATACTTTGCTTGGCCTTTTAACACAGTTGTAACAATGGGAACAGGAAAATTTGCAGGCAAATTTAATCAGTTTCTCTAAGCTATAGTCATTCTACTTCAAGATTATGCAAATCCAAAATTATTTTTCTTTTCAGAACCAAATTACTGCTTGGAATTTGATAGCTTTTATTGTCTTTCCTTTTCAGCATGCCATTGATTTCACCTTATTTCATTTATATGAATGTTTTCTGCTCACTAGGGCAACTCAATCAAAATTTGGATTTTTGTTTTGGACTTTCTTTGAGCCTGACAACAGCAAGAAGGTTAAGTCAGAGCACTGGGGCATTAGAGAAGAGTGATAATTATTGTCTGTAATGCTAACATTTCATTTTTATCCAGAGGATCTGTTTTCACACTGCTTAATGATTTCTCGGTTCCATTATCTATTTCATCTAGTGTTTGTTGCTACAACAGTGACATTGCTTTTGGCTGATGATGTTTTAATATAATTTTTTTCTTTCAAACTGTTATTAATTTCCAGACTTATGCACCTCTTTTGTCCAAACCTTAATGAGTCAATATATTCATCCTCATATAAATCTTCTCTCTGCCCTTAGAAACATTTCAGTCTGCAGAGCTGGAACTGATTGAAGGTGGCTTCAAGTGTCATACATAAGAAGGGATTTTTGTTAATTCTGACCCCATAAGCCTTCCTGCCTACTGTGAATATCTTGTTCGTACTCTTTTTTGGATGCTGTTGCTGGGAATGGTTTGGCTGCACCCCTTGGTTTTTCCTGATCAACACAAATTGGGACTTTGAGGCTTTATCTGCACCGCTGATGTAATTTTGGGCTTTATCTGTCTGTCGTAAGCTATCTTTACAGAAGAAGTAGTTTCCATAATGCAAAAAATGCCTTTATTTTGTTATCTCACTCCATTTGAGCTTTTTCTAGGGCACAGTGGAAAGGAACAGAGACAAAGAGGGCTCAGGGAAATGAGCTAATTTGGGCACAGATCTCAGCATCCAGCTCTAGTCCTGGTCCAGTCATTGCCAACTGTGTGGAGCTGCACTGAAGGAGAGACATAAACTTCCCTCTCCACCTCTGATCTCTCTCACAGATGTACTTCAGGCCTTAAAGAACTCACCTCATCACTGCTGGCGATGGTGCAACTGTATTTCATCCTGAGGCTTTCTCCTGCAGAGCCTGTGCTCAGCCAGGCAGCCACACGTCTGCACTGTTAACATTTCAGCCAAAAATCAAACTTCATCCATACCTTTGCACCAAAACTGTGATGTGAAAAGGGTAATTCCAAGCAAGGTTGAAAAACTGATGTTCTCTGTTTTCCCTAGAAATGAGTTTGGTATTTTTTTTCCAAAGGGGACAGGTCTAGGAGGATGTAATAAGCTATTTCAGCACAGGAACTGAACTAATTGGATGCTCAGAACTGATAAAATATAGCTAATCCTTGAAAACAGTTATTCCCTATTAGAAGACAGGATTTTTTTTCCAATTAAATGAATTTACTTTGCCTTTTTCTATAGTGACAGCAGAATGCAGACAACAAACAAGAGTAGAAAAGGGTTTCAAATTTCATTTTAAACATTTGTCTCCATATTAAGAAACCTTACTGGAATTTACATTTTTTTTTTTTAATTCCCAGATGATTTTGAAATAAATGAAGCTTTTTCTCCTGGAGGCACTAGGGTCACTCCTCTAATTTTTGATGTCTTGAGGCATACACTGGAAATGTGGCTGAACTTTCCCAGCTTGAGCTGTCTAGAGTGTTTTGTGTTTTTTTTTTATATGGGACTCAGGTATTTGAGCTGATGCTGTGGGCAACAGAAGTCTTGGCAGTGGGGTCATAGAATCATAGAATCACAGAATGGTTTGTGTTTAAAGGGGGCCTAAAAGTCATCCAGTTCCACACCCCCACCACAGGCAAGGACACCTTCCACTGGAGTCAAAGGTATTTATATCTCAGCCCATCTGACCAAATGCAGACTCACCTAAAACACATTTGACTGTGCTGAGTAGATCTCCTTGAGTTATAAAAGCTCCACACAGAGGTCTGCTGACATTTCCCCACTTTGGACAGTCTATGGCATGGCACTGGATACTCTGCTGGAGCAAGTGAAGTCAGCCTTGATGTGGGATTTATTTTAAAATTGAAACAGTGAAGTGCCTCTGTGCACTAAGGTGCCACAGCAGTCAGGCAAGATAAGGTTTTCTTGAGCTGCCTGAGCAGAAGCATCCAGCACATGAGATGCTGTAGGACATCCTGCCTGTACCTCAGCTGCTGGTCTGGACTAGAACTGTCCTCTTGCAGTTTGAATGTAGGAGCTGTGAGATCATCCCTCTATTTTTCAGGCTGCTGAAACCAACCTCAGCCTGTTGGTTGGTCCAAGGCCAGGTTGGAGGGGGCTTAGAGCAACCTGGCCTAATGGAAGGTGTCCCAGCCCATGGCAGGGGTTGGAACTGAACGATCTTGAAGGTCACCCTTCCCACCCAAACCATTTTAGGATTCCATGTTTCATACACCTGCAGGCAGGCTATTAAACTGAGCATCTTACATACATATAGATCCCTAAATAGATGCATAAATTCAGATTTGTTGGTTTAAATGTGTATGTCTACAGTTCTATAGCACAGAACAGACAAGAGGAAATCCATTAATTCCTTATCCTAATCCTGGAATAAGTACACTGGACAACACCCAACATCCCACTATGTATTACTGCTCTCTTTGCACCAGCTGAAATAGTTTAAAATCAGCCCACTACCATAGCTGGGAGATCCACACTCAAAACATGATCTGCAGGAGGACTCCGGAGAACAGTAAACCCGTATTTTTCTCTCTGCTCCCAGAGAAATTTTTATATGGCTGCTAGAGCTGAAATTTAATACTCCATAAAGACCTTTAGTGACAGGAAATCATGATCTACCAGTCAATTTAACAGAAGAAGGCTGCAAATAGGTTCAGGTCAAATCAAACAGGTTATAAATATTTAGTTTCAATTTAATGAATAAAAGTCTAAGCAAAATGCTTATAACTGAGAGTGGTGATTTTTTCTTTTATAAAAAAGAATAAATTCAAATGAGCAGTTATGAATTGCACTTTTTGAAATTTCCACTTTTAAACAAATATTGCTTGTGTTCCAGTGTTCCTGTTCCCACTGAGGCAGGAAAAAAACCCCGTAAAAAATGATCAGTACTGTGGAAATCCAACTTTTTTATCTCTTCTAGTTAAAAACCATAAAAAATTACAGAATCAGCCAGGTTGGAAAAACCTCTGAGATTATCGAGTCCAACTTATGATCCTCCTATCCACGTATACTTACATAGTATATAAACATTTTCCTTACTCTTGGGTTACCTGCCAGTCTTCAGTGGGTTATTTACTTTCAGGCAAGCCAAGTAACTCTCAGTCTGCCAAAAAAAACATAATCTAGAAAATAATGGGTAAAACCTTAACTTTTTTTCCCACATGTGGCTGCCAACAGGTCTGTGGGCAGATAACATTTTTTGTTGTGAGGTGCCTCAAATGACGCAGGAGGTTTCCATCAGTGGTAATTATGACCTGGCATCTCTTTAGGGAACTGTTATTTTTCTAATCTTCCACGGAAGCTCCTTCAGTCAAGGTCAAATTCCTCCAGTGTTTTCATCTTCAAGGAGCGTGGACAATGTGCCTCCTCTGCCCCCTGGATGTGCAAAGACAATTGATGCTGTCACTCTTCTGAGCAGCCTCCTGCAATGTGTGTGTGTGTGTGTGTGTGTGGTGGAAGGAAACAACCACAAAGAAAAGAACTTTAGCATTCAGAGGAGAACAACATGTCAAAATTCCTTAAACCATGATAAATGTACCAAACTCATCCAGCTCTTTCCAAACAGCGGTGAGTGATGGTGATTTATGACTGTGGAGATTTTTCTTAAACTAGTAGTTTTTGCAGAAGAAAGAAAGGTCACTGTAAGTTGGGGCGTGCACAGTTTATCTCGTTCTCTGCAGTTTGTTGTTCCCTTTGAGCTAGTCCATACCACATTAGAGACCTCTGCCAGGGGAGCACCGTTAATAATCATAATTATCATCAAAACCAACAGAAAATAAGGAGCACACATACACACACACAAATCTTAACAAGCACCGTGTTTGTGAACCTTCTGACACCACCACGTAAATAAAGCCAGCAGTTTGCAGATGACAAAAGCAAATCCCAACAGGAGGAAGAGTAGCTGATCCCTAAATTGAGCAAGAGAAACCGAATCAAAGAGGATGAATGGGAAAAAAATGCAGCAATTTGCACTGTGATGAAGAGACTGGCTGATCATTTACAGGTAACAACAGTGCAAACCAAAAAAAAAATGGTGATGGAAACTATAGCATGGGTAGGAAAGTTGGAGAAGACCATCATTCAGCAATTCCTGTCTGCTTGCCACGGGTAATAGCACAGTAAGCCTTGCTTTTCCATTGCTTCACCTTGGAGACTGCCTCGTTGCACCAAGCAGGGGGAAAAACTCTTGGGGAAGGTCTGGGGATTATCAAGGCCTCGTTCCACCAAGATCTCTGGTGGAACACACCACAGAAAGCCTTAAGCATCCTCAGATGACACAGAAATTAAACACAATGATCATCAATGCACCATGGGCCGGTCCAGCCCCTTGTTCTGACACCATGGGGACAGGAACCAGGAAAGTTAAACCACAAGAAAAATGTGAAGTGAGGCTTCCTGAGAAAACTCACTTTCCAATCATTTCCAGCTTCCTAAGCAAGAGGTAATCTCATATGGAGGCTTCAGTGAGAGTTTAGTGCAATTTTCTTTCCTGCCACACTACTGCCAAATAAAAAGAGAGTCTTGGCTAAAACAGAGATAGAAAAAGAGCATGACCAAGGAGAGATTTAACAGATGTTTTTATGAAGGCCATAAAGGGTGAGTGGTAGATATCTATAAACCTCTGGCTAAGATCTGAGTACATTAATCTTGTTAGTTTTAAAGGTAAGTGAATAATCAGAGCTGTTGGGGGTTATTGGAAATGCTCAACAATGGGATGAAATTCTTTTTTTATAATGGATGGTAAAATGTGCTGATAATAAACCTGAGCTGGGACCTCCTTCTCCTTCTTACTTTCATTTCTTGACTTGGCTTCTCTAAAGAAGAGGATTTTATCCAGAAAAATTAAGCTGTGTGATGTTTCCTTCATATGGATTAAAAATAAAGCAACTGATCTTAGATGGTAACAAGAGAAACCAGGCAGACAGGAGATACCATGTGACACCCCATGAATTCACCAGCACTGTCTGTTGTTATGACCAGTATAAAAATAAGAACATGCTTGGAACTAAATAGTTGTTTCAGGAAGCCATGGAAATGCAAGAAATTTGCAGAGTGATCTGGACAGAGGGTTTGTGAGAACAAAGGGCAGTGCAGACAAATAACGGAATCGGATCATGTCAGAATAGTGGAAGATAAGGCTGGCAATTTGTTTGTCTTAATCCTTTGACCCAAAACATGATCAATCAAACATCACCTTCTTAATTATCTCATACTTTCCTTAAAATCCCTGATAGTGGAGATTCCACAGCCCTCTCAGACACTTGGCTCCAGTTTCAGCTTGCGCTGACAGTCACAGAATCACAGAATGGTTTAAATTGGAAAGGATCTTCAAGGTCATCCTGTTCCAACCCCCTGACAGGGGCAGGGACACCTTCCACTAGATCAGGTTGCTCCAAGTCCTGTCCAGCCTGGCCTTGGACACTTCCAGGGATGAGGCAGCCACAGCTTCTCTGGGCATCCTGCAGTACTATAACAGTCTTACAGAAGATGGGAAGAGTAGGAAGATGCATCCCAGAAAACTGCCAATGAAGGAGCAGAATGCAACAGGAGGTTGCAAACTGGACAGCAATGTTTTCGGAAAAATGAATGTCTGGAACAAACTCACTTAGAAAAATTCTGAGTCACTGTGTGAATTTGAATTCACACAGGCAAGGAAACAACTACCAAGAAATTATAAATACTTTCTAGATTCAGAATTAAATCATCTATAAAACCTTAGTACTGCTTCTATTGTCCCAAGCTTTTTTACTGCCTTTTAGCTCATACAAACCTAATTAAGATATTACACAGAATGAACCCAACGTTTACTGCAGGACTTTGGGAATAAATTAAATTGCTTTGCCTGTGAATGTGTGCCTTGTGGTAGATTGGCTTTGGCTTTAAGCAAAGTTTAAACTATGACTGAATATTTTCTTGTGCTTGGGGCTCCTGTAAAAAGGTTCTCTCCCATGTGGATTTTCCTGTGTGTGCCAAAATTTATGCTTGTTTATTTTCCTGCAGTGGTAGTGCCTGTAAGATCTGTCTTCTGCCCTCATGAAATGTAATTATCTATGAAGCTTCAGGCTTTTCTATCATTTTGTTTAATGAGGTCAGAAATTATTGATGGTGCACATAGAGGCACTCACAATGTGAGTGAGACCACCTAGGCTTAGTTTTCATGGGAAAACAGGATAATAATGGAACAGTTAACCAGAAAACAGATAGGTGGAACTTCTGCCCTGAGAAAACCCAGAAGGTTGGTTTGAAGGGTTTGGTTTAAATGGATGTTTTCAAAGACAAAGAGAGAACTCGAGGGTAGAGTTCAAGACAAAGTGTTTCCTGCTTTGCAGCCAGTGCAAAGCATGGGATGATACACAAAATACAGAGTGAAAATGGAGGCAATGGACAGGATATGCAAAGCTTGTGGAGTCAGCCAAGGAGCCATGGAGCATTTATCTGCTCCAGGAGACACAGCTGCTGTGGGGACATTTTCTCTTCAAGACATTGTGTGCTGCAGGTGGGCTGTGCCTCCATCACATCATATGGCAGACCATGATGGCTTTGGATCAGTAGGTGAGAGAGCAGAGAGCACAGAGAGGGAACCATTCCATTTTCCATCCTGAAAGAGTAGAGTTGAGTGATGTTTCCACTACAGTTTATGTGCAGCACTAAAGTAGAGAGATTTAGTTCTTTTTGGTGTGAGATTTTTGAGGTTCTCCATGAAAATTATTAATGACTAATGCATGCTTTATTACTCTCTTTTCAAATCTCTGGTAGAAGAAAGAAAGAAAGAAGCAAAGAACCATGTGTTAAACATCTTCAGTTCCAATATAATGGAGAATCTAACGTACAGAAGCAGCTTTTCCCCATCTTTACACTGCTATTAACAATTCTCATAAATTCAGACTTTCAGAAGTGTATATAAAGCCATGGACATCTCTCACAATAAAGAATTTTTTTCTAATATCCAATCTGAACCTGCCCTCAGTTTAAAGCCATTCCCCCATACTATTCACACAAAAGTGACTACGACAAAAATTTCCTCACCTTCACAAAGACATGTCCTTAATCAGCCTCATGTAAGAGTAGGATCCATGCTCAGAACCATGTTTTGATAGAAAAAGACAAGATAAAGCCAGTGTTATTTCAAGGCTATGATTTTCAGAGCAGTCTGCAGATGGTCTGAACACAGAGGAATCAGTCAGCCTGCATTTAAGTAGTAATTACAGATATTAATGTCTACTCAACTGCATTAGAAAAATAAATGTAATGTCTTTTCCTGCCAGGAGGGTTCTTCACATAACAGATCGCTTTGCTGATGTGGCTAAATACCTTTCTGGTATTGACTGACAAAGAGAATACTCTTCAGGCTGCTATAAAACAGTCAGGGAGGTGGCTCAGGGACGTGGTAACGTGGAACAGAACTTGTACCTTCAGAACCGACACAAAGAGCACTTCAAGCCAGGTCTTGTCAGGAAGAGTCTGACAGGCAAACGGAAGGAGTTGTTTCGTTATCCTGTAGGTGTCTGTAGCTCTAAACATCCTTCTGGAACAGACAGGTGATTCTTGGCAGGCTGAGGCCAAAGAGAGACCTGCTGTAAATGTTTGGATGGGTGTGCACACAGCAGTTCCTCCTTGCCTGGACACTTCTACTGCTCCAGTTTGTATTAGCACAAGAAGAGGTTCCGGACTGGACACACCTGCCTTTGATCTCACACCCCACCTGCAGCCCAGGGAAATCTGCCCTTGGACCTGTTTGATGATCTGTTGGTGTGTGGGATGCAGGAGTGGGATTAACTTGGTTCCATTGCTTGCTGCAGCCTAGTGGATTTTCAGGTGTGTTTCATCTCACTCTGAAATAGGTGGGCACAATTTACGCTCTAAAACTGCTCAGCCTGATTAACTTGATCTGATTAACTTTCTTCCAAGGAAGCCCAGGGTGACTTACTAGGAAGTTCACCCTGAAGTCATCTAAAGTTAGATAAGATGACTCCTGCCATATACTTCAAATGAATTCAGTGTTTCAGCACAGGTTTATTGGCCTTGGTAACTCACTGGCCATTGACTGACAGTGCAAAATTTGCAGGAGTCTGGTGTGGGATACAGGTTGGTGCAGTTTCTAGGGCACCATTGTTGGGTTTTTGTTTTGTTTTGATTTTTTTTTATCCCCAGAGCACAGGATTTTTGGTCCTGACTACGTCACTTCCTGAGAACATGGTCTGTTGCTGGTTTCTTTTCATCTTCATGCCTCAGCCTCCTCTCTCCACCTCCTTTTTACTATTTGGACCGTAAACCTGTCAAGCTAAGAATGTTTTGTAGAGCAGGAGCCTCACTCATCATCTGATATTGTAATAACAAGCTTATTGCATATTATGTGGCTTCACTGTGGTGCATGACTCTGCAGATAAAGAGCTTCATGCTCCTTGTGACTTGCTGTGATGTCCTTAAAGCAAATCATGCCCTGAGTGGTGGAAATACAGAAACACTGATTTCTGTGATCTGCTCAGAAGGTTCTGTCTGTGTTCTCAGATGTTTATCCCAAAGTTACACGCTCTGAAGCTCTAAGGACTTTTATAAGAGCTCTTTCTTGTACAGATTTCCGAGTGTCTGAGAGGTGATGAGCTCAGATTGCAGATCTTGGTTTCCATTAAACTCCTGACAACTTGGTATCTGAGATCTCCTGTATTGAATTGCATTGATTCTGTCCAAAACTGGGAAAGACCAACACACACACACACTCACAGAGCATGGTAACATAAGCTTTGCTTCCTCAAGAAAACATGGAAAACCTGTCAGTCCTTTTCACAGTCATTCTTGGCCACTGCCTACCCCAGTCCTTTTCTCCTTTGTACTTTTTCTGGTTTAAACCATCAAATCCTCATGAAACTACACTGAATCGGTCTGGAAAAATCCACTACCCGGGGCAAAAGAAGTTGATACACATTATAATCCTCTCAGGATCATAATTCCACTCTTTTAGATGCATAGGAGGTGGTGCCTTGCTCTCAGGTGGGGAATACATTAGCTGTTATCATGCCTCTGGCTTTAGATCTAGCAGACTTCAAGTAAAACAAATGCAGTGTGCAGAAAGCAGCATTTCCTTTTTAGTTGTTTTAGCTTCTATTATGCAGAGCTCTGGATGCTGTGGGAATATTTACCAAGGCGTCTCTTGGGGACCAATTTGCAAACCAGTGGGGATGCTGGTGACATACATACACCTGCCTGCTTTTATAACCCAGCCCCTAAAGCACAGGTCTGCTTGGCAGAGGGTAATTTGAGTGCCACAGGTTTGCAATGAATCAACGGGATAGAAGGGATTGTTATGCATTAGTTCCTCCAGCCCAAGTTATCTGACCCCAGTGCTCTGAAAAAATAGAGAAAAAAAGAAAAAAGACCGAGACAGAGACCCACAAAGAGATGTAGAGGGAATAGCTGAGAATATGCACAGAAGTGTATTTCTATAGAAGGACAGAATATGAAATGAGATGGTTGTAAGGGTGGGATTTGGAAGGTGGGAGCTCTGTTACCATTAAGGGGATGGTGATAATGTGTTTTTCATCCACATACTGATTTAGTCAGCTGCCCATCTTCTGGGAACATTGATTTTAGGACTGAATTTACATTTTATCCCACAGAGGATCTAGGGAAAATACTGGATAAAAATTACAGAAATAAAATATTAAATTCTCCTGTTCTCTGTGAGAAGATTTGCTTCCCCACCTGTCCTAGTATCCTTAAATTTTGTAATACCTGGGAAGACCCATTTCCAGTGGAATAAATGAGTCTTAAGTTTTACTGAGACAACTGAACAGTGAAGGTGCCACAGAGGATTAATTTTCATATTCTCTTTTTTCACTGAGGTTCACTGTCTTGTCCCACTGGATATCTTTTAAAAATGCTGGTGCATTTCAACCAAATTTGAGCCAGGTATAGAGATTTCAGGGGTAATTAAATTCCTACGTGATTCCTAAAAGCCCGGTGGAGAAGAGATATCCAAACTGATGTTTTCCCTGGAAGTTTGGCTGAACTCCAACCAGGACAAGTGATCAGCACATACGTTAAAAAGACAGGTTTCCTTATTTTCACTTCTTTCATGACAGGTTGCTCATACTGATTGTGGTGGTGGTCCACAGTGATGTCTTTCTGCAAATTATGTGGAAAAGTCAGGAAGGTGCAATTAATGTGGTTAATTAAGGATATTTACTTATTAAAAAAAACCCAACCATCCTACTTGGAATCCAGATGAGCTTCTTGTCACCATCACAATCACTGTTTATAGTGCTGGTTTTAGTAATAGTTTGGGGCCCAACTATTCTGGGCAATATTTCAACACAGAAAGCACAGACAGGCTCTAATCAAGACTCCTCGTGAACTCTGACTCTGCTCATGTGCTTCAAAGCTGATGGGACCCTCTTAACAAACAATTCCCTTCTAAGATTGTGTTACTAACCCCTTTTGCAAATATAAGGGTTGAATGACTATGGTCATTTTGTATATACACCTTAAACTCTCTTCTGGCACATCTGCTAATCACCACTCAGAGACTAGCCATCCACAAAGATAATTTTGGAGTGAGTGAGAAATACATTAGCTTCCTAAAGAATAGTTGATTCCTGTTGCATGCTTTATATTTCTTTTGATTGTAAAATGTCTGTGGCCAGAGCTCATTAAAAATATTCAGAAGTCTGCATTCATAGACACCAAGCGTATTATTCATATTTTGAAGCCTCTGAATTATCTCCCCATGAAATTTAGATACAGAGTCTAAGGTTGGTGTTTTTTTTTTTTTTTTTGTTCCCATTCAAACACTGGAGCCACTGTGGTTCTCTGAAATTTTATTTCCTTTTATGTTCTTGGATGAATAATCCACTCAAAAGCAATGTGTTTGCTCTAAACCTGAAACCAGTGAGAGAGAGTCTCTTTCTGTGAGACAACCTCATCTGTGCAGTGTGGCAGCCAAATACCATTAGATATGCTCTGTGCACCCTCTCCCATTAAACACGGCCAAAAGGACAGGAATTATTTCCTCAGCTAATGCCTAAGACCTACTGTTGGATGAAGACTTACATCTGAGTGACTCAAGAACTCTTGGATACAATTTTTTTCCCCGCCTTGCCAGAGGAATGAAGTGACACCTCTATGCAAGTAGTGGATATGGATGTACAGGAAAACAATTAACAGCTTAAATCTGGGATTGTGTTATAATCTGAGGCCCTTTGGGGGATCCATCCTAATATTAAATCCTGTGCATTAAGATACACTCAGCTGTTTAAGACATTTTGATGGGCTGGCCAGATATGTCACAGGATATGTGAGAGAGGTGCTTTTCAGGAATGACAGGTGGAAAGAGGAATTAATCCCTTGCAGCATCTACAGTGACACTACACAGATGTGTTTGAGGCCACTGAATTCCATCAGTTAGATCTGGGCAGGTCACTGTCTCTTTTGGATCTGGATCCGAAGCCAAACTCCTTCAATATGTGGCAGCTGTTTTAGACCGACTTTGCTGAAGGTTTTCACCAGCCTGTGGTTTGAAGACCTCAGTGAGTGAATTGTGTCTCCCTGCCCTCTGTGGGTAAGGATGCCAGCAAAGTCTCATCTGATTTTGGCATAAATTTGTGACACCCTAAGGTCTCTAAAGATGACCTTTATTAACATCTGGGATTACAAATATCTGTTCCCTTTATAGACTGATATCTAAAGGATGAAATAACCCAATACATAACTATATATATAGCATATAATAAGAATATTTTAGAGATAAGAATAATAAGAACAGACCTGTTCTTATGCAATGTAGACCATACCAATATATTCTTGCTCTTTTGGCAGTTGAAAAGAGTAATAGTCCACAGGAACTGAAATTAAAGAGCACTGATAGAAGTCCATGTTGTGTTTAGAAAAACAGACTATGAGACTGAAGAATATGCCTGCAAAA